GCACCCGCTACCCTGGGAACTTCTGCAGTATCTATCGTCTCCTCCGGCTCTTCCATAATTCCCAAGTGTAACCCACGTCCTCCGGCAATGCTGTCCCACCACGAGTTAGCACCTGGTAGTGCTGCTGATTGCTGCCCAGCTTCACTCTGAAACGCCCTAAGTGCGAGTGCCTCATTGAGCTCTGGAAGCATGCATTTTAAAGGTCAGGAGTTCCAATCAATCCTGGGAATTTTAAGAAGGGGATAATATTTTCCAAAGACACTAAGCAAAACTTGATCTTCTGGAGGTACTTGTTTCATTTTCAAAGGTCAAGAATGAACACAGATCCTCTATATTATTTGGTCTAAGAAAATACCAGGGATGCATTTCTTTGACTCAGTAAAGTCTGGCATGTGTTCTAGTAAACGTTAATGGTGACAGGGGGATTAATTTTTCCCTCAATAGACCTCCCCCATGAGAATAAGGAGTATGAAAGATGTAAGAGAATGTTGCAGACAAAGTGCTGTGTATAAATTTGTTTTCTTGTAAAAAATATGGAACAGGTTAAAAATTGAAGCACCGAAATTCACAATCTAAATTACCTCTTCAAAACGTACTAACTTGTTTCTAGAAATTCAAGCTTTCTAGTCTCCTACCAAAAGCGCTCCTACGAAGATGTGGAAGATGATGGACACAAACCAGGGACAGAAAAATACTGACTGTCTTGCAGATGTGAGAGGCTTAACAGAGCTAGTCTTCCCTTTTGCTGGAACTAGAGGTCACACAAAAAGATAAATGAAACTGAAAATAACAGTGAAAGTAGGAAGGCAGCAAGTTCTATCCAAAAGATACTGACAAATACTCAGACAACTAAGACTTAAATTTACAACTGTTCATCTTTCCAAGGTTTCATCACTCTTTTCTACAGCCTGCATTCAAGGGAGGGAGGGCTGCAAAGCCCAATTGCATAGCATTTATTTGCACAAAAGATATTTAGAAACAACACCACCAATGAAATTTGACCACAGGATTCAGCAAACAAGACTTAAGAGAATGTAGGTTCTTACTTCAAGGGGCAATTTCATATTTTCTTTTTTCTTTTCCTTTTTTTTTTTTTTTTTTTCTCCAAGTAAGGCCATTTCCTTGGTGATTTGGAAGCTGCTTTGCTTCTAGCAAAAGATGGAAATGAGGGTGAACAATTACACTGTAAAAAGAAAAAAACCCTAACCTGCTCTAAACTGACTGTTCTTCCCTCTTTCTAATTCAACCCATGTACTTATGAAACCTAACACTTAAGTAACACCAACTTAATGTACTAAGAAATGTAATACAGGATGGACATTTTTTCTCTTTGCCCTCTTTGGGTTAAAAAAGAGGAACTTTGGATGATTATGTGGGTTGGGCACTTCAGTCACAAGTTGCTTGTTTGCATGACTACCCTTAGAAATGTCTCTTTACCTCGTTATTTTTGACTCATAGATCATCGACATAAGACCTTCTGCAATGGGGAACTGCAAAGACCATTTAACAAAGAAGAATTCTGGAATAATTTATCTGACAACTATGTTTGTGGGAAATAACATCAATAAAAACGCTATACAGGTAATGCAACTGAACCTTTTCATTACTTAAAGAGCAAGAAGGTTCATTAATTTTTGCTGTAGGGCATTTCATATTTGAATAGCTGTATTTAAGTGACATTTTAGCTTTCACATGAAAAGGTTAGAAGGTCTCCTCCTAGATAATTAGCTATAGCCTGAGAGTTTAATGAAGAGACAAAGTCTTCCACTGCAGAAAAACAAATAAACAAACAAACAAAAAAAACAAACCACATCATTGAGCAGATTTGCACAAGGACTACATGGGTTAGAAGAATCTACTGACAGAAGTATGTGCTATATATATATACATATGTAAATGACCTTGACTTACATGTTTCTGAATTTCCAATTGGGGGGAAATTTTCTGGGGGAAAAAAAAAACATTTTTATTTTTTTTTTCTGCTAGAGTAATTTACTTGTCATCTGAAGAACTGCTTGCATGTCAATAAAATTTGACACCAGGAATCACCAGATACCAGACTAATTTTCAGTCAGTTTTCCTAGAAAGTCGGGTTGCTTGGAGGACACAGTATTTTTCACAAAGCATATTTCATTCTGTAAACATCAAAATATTCTTGTTTATTGTATTTCTATGGAAGAGTTTCAAATTTTGTGTCTGCTGCATGTGGCCAAGTAAATTAATATCACAGTCGGAAATTGATAAAAATATTATCATGGAGTAATTTAGATGATTGGAAGAGAATTTTGAATGTCAGTCATCTAGGTCAACCCTCTGATCAACAAGGTCCAACCGGATCAGGTTGTTCAGGACTTTGTTGAGTGTTGATTATCTCCAAGGATGAAGATTCCACCATGTCTCTCAAATGTATCCAACGCACACCAGTGTCTGACCACCTTCCCTCACGGTAAAAACATTTTTTTGTAATAGCCTGTTGGAATTTCCTGTGCTCCAACTCAACGCGTGTTGCTTCCTGTTCTATCCCTATGCTCTTCTGAGAAGAGCCTGGCTCTGTGGTCTCTCTACTGTCCCTGTAGGTAGGTAAAGAAAAAGATCCCCTCGCAGCCCTCTCATTTAAGGCTGAAGAAGCCTAGTTCCTTCAGTCTCTCATTTGCTACAGCCCTGACCATGTAGATCGACTTCTGCTGGACCTGCTCCAATACATCAATGTCCCTGTCGCTCCACGCGTGGTCTCACAGGTGCCAAACAGAGCGGGTATTTACTTCCCTTGACCTTCTTCTTCACACAGCCCAAGCTGTGGTTGGCTTTACCTGCTCCAAGGCTGCATTGGTAGCTCTTTTTCAACCTTTTGCCCATCAGGAACCTGAGGTCTTTTTCTGCCAACCTATTTACAGCTGGCTGCTCCCCAAGCAACACCAGGTTATTCTACCCCAGATGTGGGACTCTCTGTTTTTCTTGAGGTGCTTGTATACCTATTTTTACAGCCAGTTCCTCCAAGGTCCCTCTAAACAGCATCCTTGTCCCCACCGTATGGACTGTTCTCCCCAAATCTGGCACTGTCTTTGAACTTCTCTGGGATTCTCCTATGCCATGGGATGCTAGTAGGTTATAGCAGGGTGCTACCAGCTGGACTTTGCATTGCTGATGACAATTCTCTTAGCCTAGCACTTCAGCCACTTTCCTATCCACCTTATAGTCCATATGCCATCAATTTGGATACACTGTGGGAGAACAAATGTGACTCCAAGTATGTCTCTTATGCAAAGCAGATCACAATCCCTCTGGATAATACAATTTATGGTGATAACAGACAAACAGGACGGCCTGAGAAGTGAAGCTAGGGACAATGGATTGTAAGAAGTATTTATTACAAAATGACAAAATTTGTATCTGCAATCTGGGATGTTTCACTACCTGAAAGACAAAAATGTTTAATGATTTAATTATTGTAAAAAATATATAAATTCAATGAAAACCTAGACTTCATCATACCAAGGTTTATCCAGATCTGTGCATTTTTTTCCAGTGAATACCTGTTAAGTCTGATAAGGCATTACTTCTGCCTGCATACTTTGCTTTATTCAGAGCATCAAAAATTTAATCCTGTGATATGCTTTAGCACATTAACCTGTTCGGCATTCAAAATATTTATCACTTCAGGAATATATTTTTTCCCTATGCATACCCGATTTTGATCAAAAGATGAAGCAGGATACAAGTGTACTCTGCACTTTTTGTATATACTAATTAGACCTGAATATTCATAACTTTTTGGTTGTTTATTTTGGGGAGTAAATAATATTTAGTTTATCAGCTCTTTATCTTTCTGAATCAGTATCAGAAGTTACCTGCCCACTATCTGTTATTAAACTAACAACTATTAAACTACAGCTATGCAGTATACAGTGCTGGTGCTTTTATGCCATTTACCTAGGATTAGGGAAAAATAAAAAGAAATCGAAGGTCACCTGGAATAGAGGTATTGCTTTGCTTCACACTGCTGTTTGAAAAAAGGAGAAAAGCATATCTAAGAAATACAGGCTTGACACTGCTCAGCATTTATGTATAGCAAGTAGTTACCGTTCACGTCCAGCAAGGAGCAATGAATCAGTTGCAGAGATGGCGTCAGGAAAAGAGGGAAATGAAAAAGGGAGCTTCCTCTTTCGTGGAAATCTGAGCAGGATTTTCAGTGTACAGTCACTTTGAACAAAACCATCTATTTATGTTATATATAAAACGTGGCGTAAGCAATCAGAGGTGCTTTAAAATGGTCTGTGTTATGAGAGACTTTTGCTACAGTCTAAATGCACTACAATGGAATGAATAAATGGGCTGCATTCTTGGAAGATGGTGCTTATTCTGATACAATTAAAAATGACAAATTACCTATTTTGCCTTTGCATAACTATGGCACAGACATTTGGGTCCTATTATCATTCTAACACTGTTATTACTAGACTACAGCAAGTCTATCTAGCCCATAAAATGTTAGAGCTGATAATCAGCCTGTATTTTATTGCTCTTTCAGAAGCAATGACTATTAATGACTATTGAGTTAAAAAATAATAATAAAAAAGACAAAACTACAGGATTGATTAGGAATTTTTTATTTTCCTCACCTGACATAAATTTTCTTTCTTGAAAGTCAGATGCAGTCCGATGCTTAACTCATGTATATTTCTTAAACTTCCATAAGACAGAAGAGTTGCAAGGAATTTGGAATGAAACACAGTGTCAAAGAAAAACAATATAAAAAAGCTGAAACATGCATTCATTTGAACACTCTGAATAAGAAGCCCTTTAATAGCCCATGTTATAAATATTTATCTTTTAAAAATTCAAATACATATTAGTAAAATCACTGCATGCATTATTTCCACACACACATGACACTCAAAGTTATTTTAAGAACTGTAAAACTGTTTCACATGTATAAAAGTATAGTTGAAAACAAAACTGTTTTTTGTCATCATGGCAACAAAAACATGATTATGGTGAAAATATCTTCAAAGAACATTTCCCCCAAAAGTTATCTTGAATATTTTTGCAAAAGTGCTAAGATGAGGTTTTCTGTTGCAGTTTCCTGTACCAGATAGGTGCCTCCTTATTCGTCTGTGAAGTAAAATAATATTTAAATTGTGAGATGGAGTGAAAGCCAGGATAAAAACAGGACACCTACACTGAAATCTCTTCTTATGTAGTTCACATTGACAACTGAGAGCTTTACTTAAACTCAAATAAACTGAAAATAAATACGTGCATTTGAAATGATTATTACTATGTATCTGTACTAAAACTTCCTTATTTCCAGGTTACGAAAAGCAGATTGTGCAGTAAGAACTAAATGAATTGTTTTAAAATATCTACCACAGTGAAAACATGCAGGAACTGTACCATAAATAGCTTTAATTCTAAATTACACCATGCCATTGTAAATGGAACGGACGCTAGAAAAGAGACCTTAAGATCTTAGGTATACCATAACTGACCAACACTTCATGCAACAATATAGTACTAAAAAAAGATAAAATTCAAAATAAAAGAATTCTGCATTTTTTTCTGATAGTGCAGAACATTTTAATTGTAGAGAACTATTAGAACTATTCGTGAGTAACTTCTCGATGTCTTCAAAATCCTACGGGACACTGCGACAGTCAGGACTGCGTAACACTCTAGTGGCAGTTTTAGTGGATGTTTATACAGAGAAATAAAATTAAAATAGTGAAGGAGGAACAACATAAGGAGGCTTATGCTCTCCAGGATGAGTATAATCTCTTACTTTAATGTGTAATGTCTCTTCTGCCTGTTGCCTCTGAATTGTTGTCTCTTTTTAGTGCTGTCTTCTATCTGCTCTCTGTTCTTCCTTTTCCTTAAAGACTGTACACCAGGCAATGTTCCATCTACTTTAGTCTGCTGGATCTTATTTTTGGGGTTCCTCATCTCTCATTATTTAAGACACTTTGGAATTTAAAAAGTTTTCTGCATAAAAAATAATATTTCTGAAACAGAGTAGCACCATATGTGGGGAAAAGTTGGGGCAAATGCTCTGCCGTGGGGATACAGTTTAGTCTGCTGTGGAACAGAGCAGCCTCGAGCAGTGTGAGCTCAAGTCACGATGTGGTCACAGCACTGGTCCTGTTTGCTCTTAAATTTAGCATTTTAGGACAGCTATACTGAAAAAAACTTCAATTTTTCTGAAGCTTTTATGTTACTAAGAATACTGAAGGCACTAATAAGCTAATATAATGCATACTAAAAGCAGAAAACTTGAGGTATTGAAATCCAAACATTTAGTTTTTAAGGGTATAAAAGATTTTTTTTTAGCATTTAATCAGACATCCTTAATAACAGAGGTGACATGAATCCTGGGCATGTATGTAAAAATTAATATGCAGAAGAAGCATCTTCATTTCTAATGTAATGTATATATCAGATATATATAAATAAATGCTCTACTTATACACTACTTATACATCTCATGGTAGAGTCAAAATTGTATCCCTTTACCTGTTAAAATATTCAATATGGCAACATATTTTTTGCACTCACAATTTTATAAGAATTGTATTTAAAAAAAATCTTATTGTGAACTTAACATGTACAAACAGTTGAACAGCAAAATAGGATCTTAAACATAGCATTTATCTCCTTAACATTGACCATTACCATAATGAGAGAAAAAAAAAGTGAATTATGTACCTCCTTGAACTACGAACCCATTTTGTTTCTTTTTAGAAAGTGGGGAAAAAAAAAAAGCTTATGGCATTTTCTTTAATTATAGTACTTACAAATAATGTTGGCTTAGGTGTAAACACATTTTCTTCTTCATGTTCTGGCAGCAGTTTTACCAAAGGGCTTGATTTGCTTTTTGTAGTCATACTTTTTACATCAGTATGAGACTGAAGTAAATTTTGTTCATAGCTTTTACCTTGTAGTCTAATTAAAACCTGCTTCATTACTGCTAGTTCCTGTAAAACGATAAAAAGCAATGCTAAGTTATTTAGTAAAATTATATCTGAGCCTATTAAAACGATTACTTGTTAGTAATGAATTTATATTCAAACAAAGTACTAAATGGATCACTGTAAACTGCAACTTTACTGTAACTGTAAAAAGAAAATCATTTGCTTGCTGCTGTTAATGATTACTAATTAGATACTAGTAAAAGTAGCATAGTAAAAAAGGCAGATGAGATTAATACCACTTCAATTCTGTAAAGCTTAAATACTGTAAAAGATAATATTCATTATGCATTAAGGAACCCACTATGTCCTTTTAATTTATGCTTCCATTTAATGTAAAATAGATCTTCTCTACTTTTTGAGGATTAGGTCTTTAGCAGAAGTCTTATAAATACATTACTAGAAATATTTATAAATATATTTATATCTAGATCAGGAAAAAAAGTCTATTAATGAAAAAGCTTTGTAGGACCAATAGGGAAAAAAAAGGTAAGAAAGGAGAAAAAAAGAAAAAGCAGAGTGAGAAAGAAAGAAAAAAGAAAATTTCAACATGGAAAAAGAAAGAAGGAAGGGTACAGAAGTGCATACATTTTTGGATGTTGTAATAATTTACTTTGTAAACGATTTAGATTCATTAGAAAATATTTTTCATTATTCTTTAGCTGAAGAAAAGCAGATTATTCAAAATGTTCAGTAAGAAAGGAAAAAAAAGGTTTGATTTCATAGGCTATCTTCCTTTTCCTCCTTGCACCTCGTAGTGCCTAACATTTTCCTTCCCCATATTTAACGGAAGTAATTAGGATAAAACAAGCTACAGAATTCAGTGTGTTTCATCTGTTACTGTACCTCCACCTTGTAATTAACAATTTATTATTGGAGAGCTAGAACAACCAAGTCAGTAGAGAGCCTTTCAAAGTTAAGTTTAAAACAATTTTTAACTCTTAATGTTTTTGCTTCCTTGCTCTTTATAATTGCTGTGGTCTTCAAAAAACACCCAGTCTGCTAAATTATTAGCATTCAAAGAATTAACATTGTTTTATTTCTCAACTAGAATAGTATAACTCATAATTATAGCTAAATAACAAACATTTGCTCTATCCTACTTTTTAACTCTTACCGGAAAATTGACACGTATTCTATTTTCCTTGCATTATTAAAAACTAATTTAACAACATTCAGTCTTCTGAAACGATTTTGACATATACCTTCTGTTTGTCTATCGCTGTCTTTAATTAGTCCCACACTAACTCAGTTATGTGCATGGATGTTACACTCCACAGACCAGCTTTATCAAGTGTACAAATTGTTCTTGTATCTCAGTCATTTAATATTAACTATTTGCATAATTCAGCCATGTGTGGTGGCATGTTAAAACAGCATGACTGCAGCGCAGCTGTTTAGGAGGACTGCATAGTTGATGCCAACATGTTTTTCAAAGCTGTAAACTCTGCAAAGATGTTGCCAAAGCGACACATAGACAGAATTTCTTGATGAAAATAACTCAAGCAGGCATATAACAAATAAGTACACCATCACAGGAGATTAAGCTGTATCCAAACAATGTTTTGACATTAACAAGTGCTGTTCCTATAGTTAAACTTGGTTACTCTGTGAACCAAATAGCTGCATGTTTGAACAGCGCAAAGCGCAAAAAAACTGTCACGCAGATTTATTTCAGAAACAGAGCCGAAACCTGTATGTGCAGGGTCAAATTCTCCCACGTCAAGATCCACTCAGCAACCTAGGGCCCTCTGTGCTTCGCAGGGCCTGCCTCATACTTGACAGCCCTGTGTCCGGCCAGGACTGGAACAGGCCGCGGGGAATCGACTCCCCGGCGAGGGGCCACTGGGACCGGGCAGTTCCCATGTGGAAAGAACGGAGAAGGAAGGACGGGGAGTGGGGAAGGCAGCTTGTCCCACCATGGACAAATTTATTTAGCATCACAGTCACATTTACCATGAGATTTTAGCTAAAGTTGCCTTCATGTTTGTCCTAAAAACCTCTCATATTTATTCAAAAAGACCTTAAAAAGATTGGTGAAACCTTGTAGGAAACTTCAACAGAATTAGGAATAGGAATTCAAGAGAATTATTCTTATGTATACTGCTAAATCCATATAGAAAATGGGCTCAAAACATTTCAAAATTTACTGATTTCTACTAAGAAAATACTGAAAAAAAAGTTTTGCTTTGAACTTCAGTAATTTTGATCTTGTCTCTTTAGATTCCTTTTTTTTTTTCTTTCCAGAATCTTAATTCTTACATCTAAGTCTTCACTTCTAAATTCTGAACAAAGAGTCATTAGCACTAGCTGGTACCGAGGACACGCTGCTATAATTTAATGGAATTTTCTAGTCCAAAGGGTGGCACATTGGTCTAGAAAGTTAGCAGGGTGAAAGCAGCTCTGCAGCGTCGGTTTCTGGATGAAATAAGTAGGCAAGACGTGAGCAAAAAAATGGATGGTTAAAGTTTTTATAAATTTTTACTGTGTGAAGTCCACAGGTCTATAGGAAGGCGCTGGTGTAAAACTTAGAGCATTCACTTTGGTTACTCTGTGCGCCGTGGTGGCTCTTGGGCACACAGAAATGACATGCCAGGGTAGCTGGGTATCCCTGCGTCAGGACCTGAAAACTTGACGGCTTTGGAGAGCGAAAAACGTAATTCTCCTTGGGAGAACTGCAAGTACGGATACCTCCGAGTGGATTCACACAGGCCCTCTCCACCCTGGCCTGTCTCACCGCCCAGGAGGCTGGGAACACAAGCACCCATCCCCCAGTTACGCACTATCCTGCTGGGATGAGGCAACGGAGATGCAGAAAAAAAAACGCAGGTTAAGATGGAAAAAGTTCAGGATAAAAATCTGCTGCTGGGACCCCAATGCTACTCACAGACAGCGAATGCACTCAGGCAAACAAGCATCAGGCAGAAACCATCCTTATTAAATGTTCCAAAAGCCCCTCTGCAGAAAGTTGACAAATTTTACTACGAATCCTCGGCTGTCCTGCCTGCCAACACAATGCCAAGCACTGAAGTAACAAGCTGTGTGACACATTAAGCGGGACTTGGCTCAAGCTTGTAACAGCCCCATGTAGGTGTCTAAACACATGCATTTGCACAGGAGCTGGGTACCTAGCTTCCATTACGGGCAGAGTTCTCCTCATCCAGAGCGGGCACCACTGCACATCCCTGAGCAGCGATGCCACCCTCAGCCAGCGCCACCGGCTGCCCCGCTCCGTGGAGAGGGAGGGAACACAGTGCGCAGCTCCGGGAGGTACCTGCGCACGCCCCGATTTCGGGGCTGCGATGATCGACTGAGGTCAGTAAAAGAGCCACAGTTGCAGGTGAAAAACGGTAGGATGTATTACCTTGCAAACAGCTTCGGAAAAACGTATTTGCTTACTTCCATTTATGTTTGTACTATGATATCCAGCAACACTTAAGTCAAAATGCTAAAGGACTTTTTTGCATGCCAAAATACAAATAGTTCTTTTTATTTTTTTTTTCTTAAAGAAAAAGGAAAGGATGTATTTAGGATAAGCAAAGGATTAGGCACCCATATTTTCCATTTTCTTTTATTAAAATGTTTTCTATTTGGGGGTTTTTAATTCTACCTCAGTAATCTACGTGGCTGAATGCTCTCAGTGGGATGGTTGTGGAACTCTTGCTGCTTGCAAAAACTCTACATCGTATCAAAAACATAGAGCTTTTTAACAGGCCTAAAGGAAATGAACCAAAAATGTGTGACACATTTTCAACATGTGAGGTAAAGAAAGCAAAATAGATGAATGCTGCCTGCACTCAGTATTCAGTAACATTTCAGTATTTGAGTAAATAATGATATTTGATCTTGAAGCAAACAAACATAAGTCATATTTTATTAAAAACTGTTTTTACCTGTTTATTATGCATAATTGAAATGGTATCTAGAAAAACAGAGAGCGAAGAGAAGTTCAGGAATAACAAGGATAAAATGTGATGCCTTCAACTAAATCAACTATCTATGTAATTAGAGGCTAGAGAAGACCAAATGTGAAAATAGGTGGCAGCATCATAAAATATAAATGTATTTAGATTTATGCATTCTATAAAAGGACAGCAACTTGTTTTTTACTTGATACAACTTTAAACATACATGTACCAAAAAAAGTTTCTTACATTTTCCTGATCATTATTGCAAAACTTCAAGACTAGTTTAATATTAAATATGATCATCAAAAAAATTTTACATAATCCAAACAAAATACAGAAGGACTGCCAAATAAAGAAAATGATTGAGGCATAAAAGGGAATGCTGTCTTATCAAGTAAATAACTGATGAAGAATATGAAAACTTTGCCTACATTAAGCACAATGGGTATTTATCAAGAAATTTCATTTCTCTTCAGTGGATTGTCAACAAGAATGAACATTTTTCTTACTGTCTCTGTCATAGAACCATAATCAAAAGAAGCATCTCCGTGCACTCAGCTTGCAAAGGCACTTAATATGATGTGTGTGTGTGCATAATTAAAATAAATACAGTATGTAATATAGATTTATATAAGCAGTTAAAATGATATATATTTATATATCATGCCTTGGAAGCAGACGCAAAATAATGTTAAGAAAAAGCAACTGATGTACAGAAATCAATTACATAAATGTAACTGGTCATGATCTTATGGCAGGAGTGTCTTGTACCTTCAATCATTCTTCAACCAAGTATCTTAGAAAGACATTTTGCATGGGGTAAACTGAACAGTTGAAAATGTTCTCAGTAGGAGGAGATATCTACCTTTCTGTTTGAAAGATAATTCCTTCTGATGGTAATTTTAATGTCTTTTCATAGGACGAATATCATCACAAGGGCAGTCAGTGAATGTCCAGGCCTTCCTTTTTCATACAGTAAAGCATGTGGTTAGCACACTCAGATATGTATACTTTAAAAAAGAAGTGACTAACAAAGGCACAAACAATTGACTGAACCTTTGCCATGTCAAATGCTATTCTACTTTTGGTTTTACAAAT